GCATTAGTATTAATTTTTCCTTTTTTGTAGATTATTTCAAAATCATAATCTGATAAATCGATTCGAATCCTCGTCATTTTTGACGAAGGATTCTTGTGCACGAATAATGAAATCAAGGGTCTGTGGTCAGTTACAACATAAAAATGTTTGCCATATACATATGTATGGTCTGAAGTAGTTTATTGCCCAATGTATCGCAAGTAGTTCCTTTTCAATAACTGGCTTGTTTAAGTCGTGTTTTTGTAAGGCTTTGCTTGCGTAGCAAATTGGCAAATCTGAACCAACATTACCTTGAGAAAGTACCGCACCAAGTGCATAGTCAGAGGCATCCGTTGTTATTATGAACGGTTTATCGAAGTCTGGATACTTCAATACAGGAGGACTCATTAGGGTTGATTTAAGACGTTCGAATGCTATTTCACATTCAGTATTCCATACGAATTTTTGATTCTTTTTTAATATCGAATTTAAAGGTTTTGATATTGATGCAAAATTTTTGATAAAACGTCTGTAGTAATTACAGAAAGCAATGTATCTCCTAACTTCATCTACGTTCGTAGGTTTAGGATAATTTTGAATGACTTTATATTTGGCTGGGTCTGTTTTGACGCCATGTTCAGTGATTAGGTGTCCTAGATATGTAACTTCGTGTTTTAGGAAGTTGCATTTTTCAGGATTTAATTTTAAATTGCAATCACTTAATCTCTTGAAGACTTTTTCTAGATTGATATTGTGGTGTTTTAGGCTGTTGCCAAAAACAATGATATCATCGACATATAGAAATGCTTCGTTTTCAAGGCCTGTTAACGCTAAGGTTAGCATTCGTTGAAAACTGTTTGAACTTATTTTTAGACCGAAAGGTAGTCTTTTAAATTCATAATGACCATTGATGGTCGAAAATGCAGTTTTTTGTCGTGATGAGTTATCAATGGGAATTTGGTGAAATTAACTAGTCATATCCAAAGTTGAAAAATATCTTGCTTTACCAAGCAAGTCTAGTATGTCTTCAAGGCGTGTTAGAGGAAATTTGTCATTTATTATTTTGTTGTTGAGTTTTCTGTAATCGATTACGAGTCTCCATTTCTTCTCATCATCTGATGATTTCTTCTGTACAAGTAGGATTGGTGAATTGTATGGGCTTTTAGAGGGTTGTATTATATCATCGTCAAGTAATTTTTGGACTTGCGATTTAACAACATCATTATGACTATGTGGTAGTCTATAATTTTTGATGTATGTTGGCACATTATCTGAAGTTGAAATATGTTCCGTGTAGAAATTGTTGCAGGATATTTGTTCTCCTTCCATCAAGAATATATGTTGAAATTTAGTTACCAGTGAGGTAAGTTCCTTATCGTCACATTTGTTATGTTGCGTTCCTATTTGTAATTTATTTAAAAGTTTTTGTGAACGTGATTCATTATATTTGTTACAAGGGTCTTTATTAACTTTATAATACTCGTTCAAAGGACGGGTTTTAAAATTTAGTGTATTTAGAGTAACACTGTGTTCATTCGTGTTCAAAACTCGAATATGGCAGTTTCCTCTTGCTGGTAGCATTGTATTTGCAATGAAAACACCTTTGTCAATTTCTTGAGAAATCAACAATTTATCATCATCGAAATACATGTCTATAGGTAATATATGTTCTGTTCTTGCTTGTAGAACAATTGGTTTATATGATATGGGAATAGTTATCTGTTGTTCATTGTGGGTAACTATTAACGAAAAAGTGTAATAATCAATATTACATTTAAAGATGGTTAGGAAATCTCCACCGATGATGCCATCTACTTCAATTGGAAAATCCTCTTCCACCACCTAAAATTCATGCTTTAAATTTATATTTTCAAACATCATATGAAGAGTCGTGATGCCTATGGAATTTATATAGTTGTTTGTGATACCAGATAATGTACATGTTTTATTCGAATTATAATTTAGATTAAACTTGTTTTTGATTAGTGACACATCTGCTCCTGAATCGATTAATAATTTTATATAGTTGTTAGTGTCTTGGCAATGAACTTTTATATAGTTCGATGAATGTGGGTTGAATGAGTAGATATATTTTTTTATTTTACCAGAGGTGAATTCTACTGGTTTCCCTCTGGTGTGTTGCAGTTTTCCTGTGCTGCTGTTAAACGAATGTTCCTTCCGTTTCCGTTTCAGTTGTTGTTTCTATTGTTGATTTGTCTCCAGTTGTTATTGTTGTTACTTCGATTTATTTGGACATTCCTGTTGTTACTGTTAAGAGAATTATTTTGATTCCTATTTGAGTTGTTATTTTGATTGTTGTGGTTTCTTTGACCACTATTATTATATGTATTTCTATTGTTATATCAGTTATTTCCGTTATGGTACCGGTTATTTCGATTGTTATTATTATTATTATAATTGTTATTGTTATTGGACCAGTTGCCACTAAGTCTATTGCCATTTGGTCTATTGCCATTTGGCGTGTTACCACGGTAGTATAGCATTCTTTGGTTCTGTTCAGTGAAAAGTAAACTTTCAGCGATTTCTCTCGCTTCCTGGAAAGTTTTGGGCTGTGACATCTGTACAGCTTGCGAATATGTAGCATTGAGGCCTTTTTTGTATGCCAGTAATGCATTCTCTTCGTTAGTTGCTAGCATCCCTTCAGCTTGTGGTGAGGTTGCGCTATAATTTCTCTTTAATAGTGACGCTGTATTCAGGTCTGACAATAGTTTGGCCATTTTATCACTATATTCCGTGATCGACTGGTTGTGGCCTTGCCTAATTTCACTTATTTTTTGTAAGAGAATTGGAACTGTGTCTTTCGGTATGTATATTGACTTGAGTTTCTCTACCAATGTTTCCATTGAAGTTGGAAAACCTACTGGCGAAACTCTTATCTTCACATTGTGGTTGAGTTTGCAATCTACAATGTGCTCTAAGAACTCCTGTTTGTCTTCGTCTCTAATCTTCTTGCTATACAAATTCAATCGTCGCAAGAAAGAACTTAATTCTTCTTGCTTTCCTGTAAAAACGGGTAGGAGTTTTTCTACACTTTCTATTACAGAGTCATACGACGCCATATTTGCTATTTGTGTGCCGTTGTTATTTTGATTACCACTTATTATGTGGTTATTTATGGTTATAGCGTCAGGTGTCTGTTCAGTTGATGTCATATTCAAGAGATATTTTCTTGTCTGAGTATATTTTTCTAAACAAAACTTCTTTTAAAGCTAAAAATTCCTCAAAATTTTTGGTTACATATGTTGCTTCTATAAGCCTTTTAAGGTCATCTAACCTATTTAGTTTAATGGCTATCGTGGGCTTAGTATATCCTCTGATACTAGCCTTTTTGGCGTTTTTAAGAATATTCTGAACTTCCCCTATATATGTAGCAAAGTTTTCCATAAATCAAAATCAGTAACGAGATCGGACAAGAAAGCAAAATTCAACACAAATCAAATTCTTATACATTTTTTTTTTTTGTATATTTTGTATGAGAGAAAAAAAAATTTTATATAATAATACTGGATATTTTATCGTAATTAATTGTTATGATTGTTTTTATTTCTTTCTTAGATATAATTCATTATCTTTTTGTAAATTTTTTTGAATGTATAATATTATAGTTATATAATAATTGCGTAAATGTAACAATGAGAAAAAAAAATATATGTAATAATATTATAATTTGTCTAAATATAATGATATGCTAATGTTTGTGACGAGTTTTAGAATCTCGTCACAAACAAACAACAAGAAAATAAAATAAACAAAAAAAACAAAAAAACAACAATAGAATTAAGGTATTTTTAGTTAAATATAATTTGTTTATTATTAGTTAAGTTACACATAAAATAAAATATTAGTATAAGGTAGTAATAAAAATTAAGGTATGAATAAGTTTAAAATTAAGGTATTATTAAGTTAGTATATAAAATCAGTATCATTAAGTTAATATTAATTTAATAAAAATTAAAAGCAATTCCTTTTAAAATATAAATTAAGTAATAACACACCTTTTTGTTTGAGGGTAACTATTTTGTAAAATTTTAACAAATGTGCAGCAACAGTAAGCATACCAGACGCAGACACTTAGAATGGACAATAACAAAGCTGTACAAAGTGCACTCAACAATTAGAAGTCCCGTTTCCAAAATCCGTATAAAAGGAGAAGCAAAGTAAAACACAGAGACTTGGCCACAGCACTTCGAACAGTGCACATCACCAGAGGGACTTGGCCACAGCATTTCGAGCAGTGCACATCACCAGAGAGACTTGGCCACAGCACTTCGAACAGTGCACATCACCAGAGACTTGGCCACAGCATTTCGAGCAGTGCACATCACCAGAGAGACTTGGCCACAGCACTTCGAACAGTGCACATCACCAGAGACTCTATGGCAGGCCACGAAGCAGAACACTTGACAGAGCCAGAGCAAGTGTATAAACAGGTAATTAAAAATATTTAAATAACATTTTCCTAGTCCATCAGTGTAGCCCTATCGGTAACACTGTTCCTAAGCAACGCAGCCTTGTCGGTAGCGTTGGTTCCAAGCCCATCAGTGTAGCCCTATCGGTAACACTGCTCCTAAGCAACGCAGCCTTGTCGGTAGCGTTGGTTCCAAGTTCACCAGTGTAGCCCTATCGGTAACACTGTTCCTTAGCAACGCAGCCTTATCGGTAGCGTTGGTTCCAAGTCCACCAGTGTAGCCCTATCGGTAACACTGTTCCTTAGCAACGCAGCCTTGTCGGTAGCGTTGGTTTCAAGTTCATCAGTGTAGCCCAATCGGTAGCACTGTTCCTTAGCA